TGGGGATGTTAATAGTAGAATTCAAGTTGGTTGGTTGAAGTGGAGGAATGCTTCGGGTCTTTTGTGTGATAGAAAAGTACCGCTAAGACTGAAAGGAAAATTTTATAAGATGGTGGTGAGACCTGCAATGCTCTATGGCGCTGAATGTTGGCCTTTAAAAGAGAAGCATAATAATAAGTTAAGTGTTGCCGGGATGAGAATGATTAGGTGGATGAGTGGCTTTACACTTAGAGACAAAATGCGGAATGAATATATTCGTGATAGGGTTGGTGTAGCTCCTGTGACAGACAAAATTAGAGAAAGTCGTCTTAGATGGTTTGGTCATATTAAACGTCGACCATTAGATGATCCGATTAGGAGAGTAGATGTTTTAAATTCGACTTGTGTTAAGAAAGGCAGAGGTAGACCTAGGAAGACTTGGGCTTATTGTATTAAAAATGATCTTAATTTACTAGAACTAAATGAAAATATGACACTAAATAGGACGCAATGGAGAAAAAGGATTCATGTAGCCGACCCCACGTAGTGGGATTAAGGCTTTGTTGTTGTTGTTGTTGTTGTTGTATAGCAACTTCAAAATCTGCAGGTTCACATACAGCTATGTTGCATTTTGCATAAATGCCAGTGAGTAATCTAGTACCTCTTACAGGAGCATCTTTCTCCAGTTCATTCTGCCAATTTTCTCCTTCATCCATGCTTGAAGTGGGAAGTTTGGGCTGCGGATCAGTTACGGTTTCGCTGATTTCCTTTAACTTATCCCAATTCAATTCTTCATCTTCCATAAAGTGAACATCTCTGCTTATAACAATTTTTCCAGTTTGTGGTTGAAAAATTTTATAAGCTTTTGAAACAGTGCTGTAGCCAATAAAGATGTCTGGAAGTGCTCTTTTGTCTAGCTTGTCTCTCTTGTTCTTTGGAATATGAGTGAAACACAAACAACCAAACACTTTGAGAAAGCTTAGAGAAGGTTTATAACCATACCATGCCTCATAAGGTGTCTGATCCTTGACTACTTTTGTTGGCAGCCGGTTTTGCAAATAAACCGCCGTATGAGCCGCTTTAGCCCAAAAATGTTTGGGTAGATTCTTCTCATGCAACATACATCTAGTCATTTCTAGAATGTATTTATTTCTTCTTTCACTAACTCCATTTTGTTGTGGAGTGTAAGGAGTTGTTAACTAATGTTCAATGCCAGCTTCTTCACAAAATGTGTTGAAATTTTTTGACGTATACTCCTTGCCATTGTCAGACCTCAATATTTGAATTTGATTGCCACTTTGATTTTCCACAAATTTTTTGAACTTCAAAAATACTACAGCCACTTCTGATTTAGATTTTAAGAAAAAAATCCAACATATTCGAGTGAAATCATCAATGAACACAATATAATATCTACTACCTGCTAATGAGGGAGTTCTCTGAAGTCCACAAACATCTGTGTGAACTAACTGCAGCTTATGAGTGACTCTTCATGCTGATTTTGGAAACGGCTTCCTGTTTTGCTTTCCAAATTGACAAGCCTTACAGGATAGTATATGATCATTGAGCTCCGGAAGCCCAGTTGCCATTCCTTTTGACTTCATTTGTAATAATCCTTGATAATGATACTGCCTGAGTCTCTTGTGCCATATCATTGAGAGACTTTCTTTGATTAGAAAGGTTGATTGCTCCTCCTGCATTGGATTGAGTAAAAAACTCCTCCCTGCCATCTTGATTTCAAACATATTTTGGCCTGTAGCATCCTCTATCACACAAACATTCTTCATGAACATTACTTTGAATCCCTTCTCTATCAACTGACCCACACTGAGCAAGTTATGATCAATGTCTGGTACATAGAGAACATCAGTGATCAATTTGGTTCCTGAACAGCTTGCAATGGCTACCGTGCCCTTTCCTTTGACTTCAATATAATCACCGTTCCCAATTCTGACCTTCTTGGACTCGGTACTCTTTAATTCCTTAAACAACTC